CTTTGAGATGATTCATCTGCTATTTAGAAGCCAAAATATGATGGTACATTTATCAAAAACCAAAACTGATCTCCTCTGGATGATATCTGATAGTAATAATAAAAATCTTATAGTCTGTGAATTAAAAATCAAAATGGAGTCATAATGGTGGTTTGTATAAAAAGAAACCAATATAATTTTTGGTTAAGTAGCATAGCATTCGGAACATTGTTTGCGTTTGCGGACTTAAATACACCATGGCTCATTTCAAACTGTTCTAAATTTGACGGCAGCATAATTATCATTTTCATGCTTGCTAAATGCTGTGAAGAACTTTTGGCATGTTTTCATTACTAGATATGTATAGCATTAAGGGTTGATGTTTCATTTATCGGATAAAAGATATTCAAAGATAATCAAATTAGAATTACAATTTTATATATAAAACATTTGAATTGTATTACTTTTATTTTCAGTCAGGTAATAATTTATATATTTATTTAAAGGTTAACTTTTATTTGACTTTTAAAACCAGATTAACTTGTTGTTTCTTGTTTTGTTCAACCAAATTAATCATAGATAAACTTTTAATTATAAAGAGAAAATATACAGTTTAGTGGCAGAAAACACCTGAACTAACTCTTTACACATGTGTAGGTATGTGCCCAAATTTATTTCAATGATCTGATAATCCATGGATGATGATTAAATTAATAGGCGATAACTTCCAGGCCGATATCACGGGATGCAAACGCCAAGGAGAAGAAAAGTATAAAAAATTGGGAAAAGAAGTATAAAATTATTCATGTATCACGAAATTTAACAATTGTATTTTAATAAAAAACTGATGTTTAATAAACAAATAAACAATAGTTATACAAATAAAATAATATGTTTGATAAATAAATAGTGTTTTTCTTTGTTAAACCTAAAAACTTCATTGAATTATTAGGGGCAAGATCTTATTTTAATTTCTCTGATAAAAATATCCCAGGCAGAAATTAATTAATCATGAAGTGTTAAGTAACTTATCCTCGATCATATAAATGTACATATATTCTGGCGCTGTCCGAAGGGAGGGGGGGAGGTCACAGGGAACATGACCCCCCATCATAACACGTCAATTTAATTTTATTTTTAAATTACTTATGTCAGTAATTTAAAAATAAAATTAAATTAACGTCTTCTGTATCTTCGCGATAATTATCAAGGAAATGACGAAGAATATTTTCGGAAGATGTTTATATTCCACTGATAGATAGCATAATGACTGACCTACAGGACCGACTTTCTGCGGAAACGATGAACCTGTTCGAATTAGGCATTTTTGTTCCAAAATCTAGAAATCTAGAAGAAGAACTACTCTTAATCTTAATGTGAAGAAAGTGTCAAATTGTTATTATTTCTTATTTTTACGCGGACATTGAATAAAACTACTTTTACGAATTCTATTGTGTTTAATTATTCTTATTTTTAAATTCCCGATGTTGTTGACAGAATGTTATGCCTATTTCTTGAGTGGTCCTGCTGCCACTCTCGTTACACAGTATTAGCTATGGGTTTCAAAGTGGCAACGGGAGCTCAAAGAAAATACTGATACAAAATTTCCTAAGGGTGTGGTTTCTACAATCGATGTTTGCGACGATGATCTCTACCCAAATATAAAGACTGCTGAAAATTCTGGCAACTCTTCCTATAAGCGGTGCGACGTCAGAGAGATCATTTTCTACGCTTAGGCGTGTACAAACTTGGTTGAGAGCAAACATGTTATAAGAGAGGCTGACAGGTTTAGCTCTTCTAATTATTCATCCAGAAACAGGTCCAGACGTCTCAAATATTATCACCCAATTTGCTAATAAAAATAAAAGGCTTCCATTTGTTTTATAATGTGTGCAATAAAATTGTGTATTGTGCAATAAAGTCTAATTTACTCGACATATTTTATTATTAGTGAACCCTCCAAAATTTCAGGCTGCGCCACTGCCTACGTATATTATCCATGCTTGTAATAATGCTTCCGATGACACGTCGCAGTTGCCAAAAAATATATTCATGGAATCTTTCAAGCGCAAAAACTATGGCCAATACATTTTCTTCTCAAGCTGTTCATACCGTTGTTGGGTTTCTGTAAGTGTCAGTGATACAAATTTGACTGGTTGCAAAGGGGTCGCCCTTAAATGCTTAGATGCAAGTGCACAGCGCCCAGCGTATGTGCACTTGCATCCACCGACAGCAACGCGGGCACACATGCGTTGTACAATTATAGAGTTGGCGCAGCACACAGAACACGCTTCACATCATTTTACATCTATGCTCTTCACGTGGATCTCAACTCCACAACATATCTTTTTCTAATAAATTCCGCGATGGCAATATTTTTTCGGAATAATTGAGTACGTATTTATTTAGATAAATTACTATGCCCAGAAACCGCTTTAATGCCTTAATACTTTATCACTAGTACTTGGTATCCTTCAATTTGCTTTCATCGATTTTCATACCCTCTAATATGTGTCTAAATATGTGACCTCCCATACTCAAAATTCACATTTACGCCGATCAAACTTTATACTACAAATTCTAGCTCTTTATGAAGACATGTTCGTATTTTGTAGAATCAAACATAAACAACAAAAGAGACGACTCCATCCAGATCTTCCAAAATCTGCCTAATTCTTACATCGAAAACTCCAGAGAGATACTTGATTAATACCGTATGGTAAATCTTCCAAAAGTTATGCCAAATGTGGATAAATTGGCACTTTTATGATCAGATCCAGAAGCCCGAGTTGACATCTAATTTACTAAAATAAAGTACCAACGATAACTGAATTAGCTTGATCGCTATTTTAGTTATCATTGGTAGAGGATAATATTGACGGCAGTTTTCTCGGTTAAGGGGCCTGGGATCTAAACATATCCGTAAGCTCCCGCCTTTTTTCTTAGCGACTGCAATACCGCTAACCCAAGGTATCTAGTGTGATACTTTTCTTATAACTCCTAACTCTTTCATACAAGTTAATTTCTCAAAAGCCTTTGGGAATTTTCCTGACTGGGCATATGCAAGAATAGGCATTATTTTCAACTGGTATAAATAATAAGTATGTGATAAGATAATATATTTAAACCTTTAAATATTTCTTCATAATACTGCAATATAGAGAAAATACTCTTTTCATTAAAACTAATTTTTCCTATGCACTCTTTCCTAAAATGCTTTCATACTAATATAGTTCCATAATTAAAAACCTTAAAGTAAAAGAAGTATTTTTATATCTCCAGGTTATAATAAATGAACCTAGAATAGATAAACAATTCCCACAGAATGACTTTAACGACTATTATCAGGAATAACTTCATTGATTGACAAACCTAGCCTTAAATATTTATTTAATGATAATTCACTTAAATCTGACCCGGTGTATAATTTAAATCGACGTTTCAGCCAGTATTTTATAAATAAGCATTTTCACACCGTACTAAGCTATCCTTCAATTGTTTGAATTCTCATTGTTGGCTTAACAATTTCAAAGTGATAGAATACTCATCAATAATTTCGCCAACTGCTTGTATGCGGATGAACGTTCCAACACAATCGTTAACGTATTTGAACTTAAAGGAGTTTCGGAGGGAACTTGACCGGCGGCGGATTGCTGCTCCTGTATTGTTGTTTAAATAATGGTTTTAAGTAGATTTTTATATGTAAAAGTGGTGCGATTTTGTGTATTAAATGTCTGCGCATGTGAACTATTAGTAGAAACGGTGAAACAAGTGCTCCGATGGTGATGTAATTCTCAAGATAAGGTGTCTATATGCTTGGGCGGCTTGAGATACTATCGCCAACTGTCTGCTGGCTCAAGTTGCAATCAAAATCTCCCAAGGGCTGCGCAATGTGACACATCGACATATTGTAAAGCAGTGTACTATAAAGGATTACTGAGATAAATGAAGACATTGCTTAAAGGACAAGTATCCAAGCCATCTTAAATAATATATCTTAAATAATATTTGAACTTAAGTGTCGCCTTAATGTCATAACCGTCGGATCCGAAATCCGTTTATTAATAAACTAGCTTGCACTCTGCTTAGCTTGCTACATATTTATTTATCTATGGAGTCCTTGTAGACTCCAGATGCTTTTAAAAACAATCGCAAATAATTGCGCCCAGTATCAGCCCGATTAGCTAGTCAACGTGTCATGCGTGCTCAATTATATATTTTTTATTCATTTATTATCTCAAAGACAAATTACACAAATTTTTCATCCCACCGCTGCTATGTAGTAACCAACAATATAGCTTCATGACAACTGTTTATAATTTGACATACATTCGAACAATTTAAATAATGTGCTACGAAACCAAAGTAACCGATATGGTTCTACAAAACAAAGCTGAAACTGCAATGGGCCGGCCACATAGCTCGAAGGTCGGACTAGAGACGGGAAAATAGGTTCTCGAGTGGCAGCCTCATATATGTAAGCGAAGTGTAGAATGATGTGATGATCTAGTAACAAATGTAGGAAGTCGATGGATGCAGATAGATCAGGCAAGGCATGTTCAGCAGTGGACTTGTGAAAGGTTGTAATGATAATGAGAATATGTACGTATGTAATTAGTTTCTCGGAAACGGCACTAAAGATTTAGATAGATTTTTTTATTTAGGTAATGTCCCAGTCCCAGAGAAAAATATAATTTCATTTTACGCTGAGCACTCTGTTGCCCATGTATTCTATCTCAATAATCTACGATATTATCATATTCACAGAACTTTTATTTGAGATGATAATATTACTATTTTTTTTTAATTTTACTAATTTAAAAAAATTAGCAAATTGCCGTGTAGTGGCGGTCAAGAATATCCACTACCCCATATCCTCCCGTGGGTGTCGTAAAAGGCGACAAAGGGAAACAGCCAGGAGATGGGCAGCAGCATCTTCCTGATAATAGCCAAATTACAATAAAAAAACTGCGGTTGCCAACCCGCTCGCCAAGCGTGGCAACTATGGCAAATACCCCCCAATGATGAGAGCAACAAAAAAACGGCCCCCAGTCCCCGGCGGCCCCGCTATTCCTGGCTACGGTGGCGACCATGGTAACGGCGGGGCAGGGGGTGCTAAGAATCTCCGGTGGAGGTTCGGTTGCCACCTTAGACGACTCGACCTGGCAACGTACAACGCACGCACCCTGAGGACTGACGAGAAGATTGTGGAGCTGGAAGAAGAGATAGACAAGTTGCGCTGGCATATTATAGGATTATCCGAAGTCCGAAGAGAGGGGGAGGACACGGTAATCCTCGAATCCGGCAACTTGCTCTATCACCGGGAGGGCGACCATCTGTCCCAAGGAGGTGTCGGATTTATCGTCCACAAGTCTCTCGTTAACAACGTTGTAAAAATCGGGAGTGTGTCGACGAGGGTTGCGTACCTTATACTCAGAATCACCAAACGGTATTCGCTGAAGGTCATACAGGTTTACGCACCAACCTCGGCACACCCCGATGAGGAGGTGGAGGAAATGTATGAGGATATCTCTAGAGCCATGCATTCCTCCAAAACCCAATATACGGTGTTAATGGGAGACTTCAATGCAAAACTAGGCACAAGAGAGAACGGTGAGCTGAAAATAGGGAAATTTGGAATAGGGCAACGGAACCCAAGGGGCCAGCAGCTGGCCGACTTCATGGAGAAAGAGGGACTCTTTATGATGAACTCTTTCTTCCAGAAGCGGCCCCACAGGAAGTGGACCTGGTCGAGCCCCGACGGTTCCACAAAAAATGAGATTGACTTCATTATGACGACGACGACAACTGTTCAGTGATGTCTCCGTGATCGCGAGGGTGAAAACTGGTAGCGATCACCGAATGGTTAGAGGCACACTGAACCTAAACGTTAAGTTGGAGAGGTCTCGTCTAATGAAGTCAACGCTCCGTCCCCCTCGTGCTCTGTTCCAAAGTCCCGAAACTTTTCAGCTCGAGTTACAAAACCGTTTTCAGTGCCTGGAAGACTGCAATGAAGTGGACGATATGAATGATAAGCTCGTGGAAACTGTCCATGCGGTTGGAGCTAAGTTCTGCAAGACCCGCCGCAGAAGAACACAAAAACTCTCCGATCACACTCTTAATCTCATGGCTGTTAGACGGGAGATGAAGCTACATTCTTCAACAGACTTGACAGCATACAGGCATCTGAACAGACAGATCTCCAAATGCATGCGGCGGGACTTACGCAACTTCAATACAGCTCGTATTGAAGAAGCGATCGAGCGGAACCAAGGCTCCAAAGTCTTTGCCAGAGATCTGTCTGCCAGAAAGAGCCAACTGTCAAAGCTGAAGACAGAATGTGGCAGCATCGTTTCCGGGACACCTGAGATTTTGAGTGAGATTGAGAGGTTCTATGGGCAGCTGTACACATCATCGTTGGAGCCACACGCAAGTGTGAGTAACGATCCAAGAGCGAGTCTCATCCGACACTATTCCGAAGATATCCCGGATGTCAGTCTGAGCGAGATTAGGATGGCTCTCCAGCACCTTAAAAACGGTAAGGCCCCAGGCGAGGATGGAATTACAGCGGAGCTTCTGAAAGCGGGTGGAAGACCGGTACTTGAAGTCCTTCAGAAGCTCTTTAATTCCGTCCTCCATGGTGGCATTACACCGGAGGCGTGGAGCAGAAGTGCGGTGGTCTTGTTCTTCAAGAAAGGTGACAACGCTCTCTTGAAGAACTACAGACCGATTTCCCTTCTGAGCCGCGTCTACGTGCTGTTTTCGAGAGTCATTACGAATCGTCTCGCGCGCAGACTTGACGACTTCCAGCCTCCCGAACAAGCCGGTTTCCGAAAGGGCTTTAGCACCATAGACCACATACATACCCTTCGGCAAGTTGTACAGAAGTCCGAAGAGTACAATTTGCCACTATGTCTGGCGTATGTGGACTATGAGAAAGCCTTTGATTCCGTCGAAATTTGGGCGGTGCTGCAGTCCCTTCAGCGGTGCCAAGTTGACTGTCGGTATATCGAAGTGTTGAAGTGCTTGTACAGTAGGGCTACGATGGCTATCCGAGTACAGAACCAGAGTACGAAACCTATCCAATTGCAGAGAGGTGTAAGACAGGGTGACGTCATATCCCCGAAACTCTTCACCGCTGCATTGGAAGACGTTTTCAAGCTTCTTGACTGGAAAGGATACGGTATCAACATCAATGGCGAGTACATCACTCACCTTCGATTTGCCGACGATATAGTCCTTATGGCAGAATCGCTGGAGGACCTAAGCACTATGCTCAATGACCTCAATAGTGTTTCCCAACGGATAGGTCTTAAGATGAACATGGACAAAACTAAGATCATGTTCAATGTCCATGTCACACCTATGCCGGTAGTTGTTGGGAACACTAAGCTCGAAGTTGTTGACGAGTATGTTTACCTGGGACAAATAGTCCGACTGGGTAAGTCCAACTTCGACCGAGAGGTCAATCGAAGGATTCAACTCGGCTGGGCAGCGTTCGGGAAGCTACGACACATCTTCTCGTCAGACATACCTCAAAACCTTAAAACGAAATTGTACAACCAGTGCGTGTTGCCAGTGATGACTTACGGAACTGAGACGTGGTCCTTCACTGCTGGCCGTATGAGGAAGCTCAAGGTCGCTCAGCGAGCTATGGAGAGGGCTATGCTCGGAGTTTCTCTGCGTGATAAACTTAGGAATGAGGATATCCGCAGTAGAACCAGAGTGACCGACATAGCCCAACGGATTAGTAAGCTGAAGTGGCAGTGGGCCGGCCATATAGCTCGAAGAACCGACAACCGATGGGGAAGAAAGGTTCTCGAGTGGCAGCCTCGTACCGGTAGGCGAAGTGTAGGGCATCCCCCCACGAGATGGAGTGACGACCTGGTAAGACATGCAGGAAGTCGATGGATGCAGGTGGCTCAGGACCGTGTTTTGTGGCATTCTTTGGGGGAGGCCTATGTTCAGCAGTGGACTTGTGAAGGGCTGTAATGATGATGATGATGAAACAATAATATAAAATAATACGAGTAAGTACTACTACTAGTAAGTACTTGAGAGATACATTGAGTTTTCATGCGATGGCCAAGTCAATCTATTTATTTAAAACATAAAATATTTTTAGTATTGATGTGGTCACTATAAGATGTTGTTAGGTTAGCTAATTACGTAATAACTGAAGACAGAAGGACCCTTAAGTAGGGACTGAATAAATCAACCGTACCGTTAAATGAAGGTATTACATGAATCGCACAAAATTTTGCGGTAGTAGAACTGAGTTGCGAGACTTGGTTTTTTTTACAAGTTATGTTTTGATGGCATTTTTATTTTCAAAAAAACCTTTGATTTATCAAAATATTTCCCTTAACTATTAACACACTCTTGCCATTTTACGGGCTTTGTTGATACCCTTGCCAATGACGTAAACACTTTAAAGTTTTTTTTAAGCTTCTTTGGATTAAAACTTCGAAATTAGTGAGAGTCGGTTAAGGTAATGTCTGGAGGATACGGTAGACAAAAAAGGGTTTCCAGTTTTAGCTCTGCTAATTTTACTATTGTCTTTTGTGCAGTATGTGACAGGGCATTGTCATGAAGGTGGCTTGTTTAAATGCCAGCTTCTCAACTGTCATTTGCAGTTGTTGACAATAAAGACCAGCAATATCTTAGGCACCAGATGACTATAAGCTATAGTCAATAATATACAGCAGACCACCAAACTATCACCATAAGCTTCTTCAGGCAATTTTTCGTTTCGGGCACTGTTTGGCTTGGGCACCTGGATCCAACCACTTTAATAAGTGCTTGCGAATGTTAAATAGGACCCAAATCTCATCTCAGGTAATATCCGACTTAAAATAACTTTCTTTCTATGCTAATTCATTAATACGCTCAGACCAACAAATAAAGAGAGGCAATAAACTAAGCCAAAATCATACTCAACTTATTGTAATATTATACACTAACGTACATATTACATGCATCTAAAAAATGCTTTTAAGTGCATATTTGTGTTTCCAGCAGTTAACTTTTTAGAGCTGATAATAAAAGAAAGAAGAAAGATGTGTGCGTGAATACGTGTCAAGAAATTGGGCATAGTTTCGGCATCACTTGACAAAGCAAGCTTGGACGCAGGCCTCTCACTGTTCGACACTCAGTTTTTTTAGAAAAGCGATTTATCAAGCTTCTTTATTTTAACGATTTTTCCGCAAATGATCTTGAATTGTTTTGGTGCTCACTGCTCACATCTACCTAACTCAGCTTAATTTTTAAACGGATTCACTTCTATTATTGCCTTTAGTGGTTCGACTAGTCCTAGACCACCCAAGTAGCAAGTGTATATAATATACTAGATAAGGGTAGAACATCCCCCCTCCCTCCGCCCCGAATAAGATGAAACTTCCAGAAAGAGAGTTTAAACTATGAATTCTTAGTCTAGTAGACTTATTATGTGCCATACTATTTCCTATACGTAATTGATATTGCGTCCCTTCTCAGACTTTGAGACGCATTGTTTCCACCACAGAACAGAAACAGAAACTTTTTTATTCAATATAGATTATAAATAATACTTATTGATAGTCACTCTTTTGTTTAATTACCACTGGTTCGAAAACACCTCTGTCTTGGGAAGAACCAGCAAAAAACCCAGCGGGACTTTTTTTTAAATAACAGCTTACAATCATGTAAGTATATTATTCAATTAACATACATACATGCATACATACAATCACGCCTCTTTCCCGTAGGGATAGGCAGAGACCACTTCTTTCCACCTGCTACGATCCTTACATACTTGTTTCGCTTCGTCCCCTTTCATTATTCCCTTCATAGATGCTCTTCGGTAAGAGTACCCTAAAACTCTTGACCTGGCCTTTTTTCAAGACGTCCCTAAACTAATTAGATATAGGTTGGTAGTGATCACTTCATTCCCAGGGACTAATATCATTCATAAATTCCTAAACATTATAATAACCCTTTTTATACAAACTTAGTTTAATAAAGTTTTAGAACTTTGTGCAGGTAAAATTTTGTATACATCATCTATGATGTACTATGTATCTTTGATGATGTTAGAATATACTAGGTTTCCACGTTAGAATTCATATTAAAAATAATGCAAGTTTTCTTAGAGTCCATGATCATAAATATCGTGATATTGCAGAAACAAAACCCAAATAAACAAAATGATCAATATTGTTTTCATAAAGAATAACATGCCATAAATATAAAATTAATTTGAATTTAGAATTCCAAGTCATACCTTACCTATTATGGTTTAAAATGACCAGTTCTATAAAATGGTAATTTCATAGGTAAAAACCTAATACTATAATCATTGTATTTTACTAAAATTATCATGCATTAACTATTTTATTCCCCTAAACCCACGTTCAGTTATCAGTTAGGAAAGTACCGTTATCATTTTCCTTAAGTGAGGCACAATATAAATAAGCACGACCTCAGAACGCTAACAGTATATTGTTTAAAGTCATAAGAATAACAACTATTTACAATGTTGAAGCTAGCTCTTGTAGTAACTATTTTCGCATCTGTTATAATAACTGAGACTACATGTCAACAACCACGTATAATATATCCTACATACAGACCGCCTCCACAAAGGCCGGTTATAATCCGGACTGCTCGAGACCTCAAAAATGACGAACCCCTGTGGTTATACGAAGGTGACAACATAGAACGGGCGCCTGCTACTGGAGACCATCCATATTTACCGCCGTACATTGACGACATCAAATTGGATCCACACACTAGGACTGCTCGCAGTTTTGATTCGCGCAGTTCTAAACACTCGGGTGGC